ATTCGGGGCTCTTCTCGTTTGAAAACAATTAGAACTTGTGTTTAATATCATTTTGGCTCCGTTTAGAAGAATTTTACACGGCGTCTCCATGACATAAATCCCTCTCGACTATCTGCGTTTTCAGTAAACTCCCCTTAACTATTTAAGGGAGGTAAAAGGGGGGATATTTGGAACAAAATGTTTAATTCATTCGAACTTCCAAAATTCATATCTCCCAAACCATGTATCCAAAAATTGCTAATAATAGATGCACAAAAATATTATGAAACAATGATTTCAGAAATATAAGAGTTGTGTAATAATACATCATATCCAGAAAGAAATAGCCAATCTAAGAATCTGCTCCAAGAATCTTATTTTATTTTTAAAACTCGGAATATTTACAAGAAAATTTCCATAATTATTCATTTGCACATGGAGCATAACATATAAAAAATGCAGCCCCAACAGAGACCGAATTTTCATTTTGATTTTTGTTTAAAATGGTGACAAATATCTTTTATTATCACCTTTTTTCTTTTCAACTTCCTTTGTTAAATCTATTTATTTGTTTATTTTTTTTGTTAACATTTAGGATAATTACATTTCTAAGAATTTATTTGTAATTTACTAAAAAAATTTAATAAGCTTTATTTATTTATTTAAGAATAATTTAATCTTAAAGTAATTCAAGATCACATTATATATTCAGTGTGAAGATTGACCATGTGATTAACCCGAATTAACCCAACTTTCTAATTTGAAATCTAAGCCCAAGTTGCGAACCTGAATTTAAAAGAAGGATGGGTTGATCTAAAGTTGAGTAGTTAGGGTTCAAAATGGGGTTATAGTTAGGCTCATGTTAAACATTTCATGAGTCGGGTTGGACTCGAGTTGTATCTTAAACCCACACAACCCATTCGAGTTGCAACCCTACTTAATTCTAGAACGATTCAATATTTAATCAATTTAGTGTGTTTGATCACTTAAGGACAAACACTAAAAATTTAAAAAGTTATTAAAAATATTAACTTTTTAACCATTTAAAAACTTTAGCACTTGAAATTTAAAGTACTTAATTTTTTTATTAAACAACACCTAAGTTGTCAACTTCTTATCTTTTCTCTCATTCAATCGAATAAAAAAGAAGAAACGTTTTCCTCTCCAAAAATGTCACATCCATCCCTTAAACACAAACATAAAATACACTAACAAAACCAACAAAACAAACTTTTATTCGAGAAAGGAATGTATCTAACAGTATACTGATAAAAATTAGAGGCACAAACTTACAAGGGCCAGTGGGGGCATCTACCCCTACTGGATTTATTTAATATTGTAGGATTCAAAGGTGATGCACCTGTCCCACATTATATGTACCTGTCCATCCCCTTCCAATTTTTGTAAATTTAATAAGCGAAAATATTATTTATAAAAATTAAGTTCTTATATATTATTTTTATTTAAAAAATTATATTTAATTTATTTTTAAATGTTTTTTTCCCCTTCTACAACGCCTCCTTTCAATAGAATTTCTTGGTCCATCACTGTTTTTAGCCTAATAGTAATATTGTAGGATTCAAAGGTGATGGTAATCTCATGTATGAATTTGAGTATTTTTAGAGTTACTTATTTTCAAATCGGTAAACACAACACGCCAAAGTAATCTTGCAACAGGTTTATTGTTTTATTCATATGAACTATTTGTTCCAGAAGTAAATAATATAATTATTTAAGGCTTTCACGTGCCCAAATGCCAATGTAGTACTATTGGGTCACTACATACATAATACATGTGAGATCAATAAAAAATTTAAATTCTTTAAGGTGGTTCATCACACAACGTTGGTCTTTCTCATAATATTTTTGTTTATGGTCCATCACGGCAGTGTTCGATTTTCTCACAACCTCTGGTATACGGATTTGTTGGTTCAGGCTTACATCCATCGGGATGCGATTTTTTATCACACGGTTCGTCATCCCTTCCGATAGCACCATAACCGATTTCCTTTGCGGAGGTTAAAAAATCAGATGAAATCAAAATTAGCGCGAGGCAAAAAATAATCATCCACCCTTTAAATGTGGCCATCGATACAATCAATCAATAGATGGTCAAATCTATATATATATGTGTGTAAATATATGATAAGCTTCAATCTTTAGTTCGGTAGGGATGGGCTAGATGTTGGAAGAAATTTATAGGGAGAGTTTCTTCCCATAATTAAGACTTGTTTTTTTAATGTGAGGTCAGAAATTAATCAATTGGAGTTGGCATTTTAAGTTCAAGTCAAATGAGACAGATCGGAGAAACCGTTTGAGTTGTGTCTCAAAGTTATTGTTTAACGATTTGTAAAGTCAAAATTTTCCTTAATTAATGAAACAAATAACTAGAGTTAAGAAACAAAAAAGAGTAGTTATTGGAGTTGATAGAATTTTGGAACAGCTAATAAAATATTTATTTATTTGTAATAGTTTGATACACTATTAGACATGGTCTTTAATAGAAAGGATTTTTCAAGAGTGGATTGATTTGAAGACCTTTTTTTTTTTTTTTTCTTTTCATTAGCAATTACAATAAAAAGCCTTTAACTATGTTTTCATTTTGCTCTATCTAAGATCATAGTTTCAGTCAAATCAAATGAAAAATATACAAATCAATATACATATATAGTAGTGTGTATATATACAGAAGTATAGATAATAAACAGTAAAATTAAAATTATAAAAATGAATATAATTTAATACATATGAATAATATTTTGATTTTTTTGTAAATACATTATCTTATTCAATATTATATTTAGGTGTAACTATATTTATATTTACAAGCCCGTTTAAATTTTTGGGCTATCCAGCTTATTGAATTAAAACCAAAAATATTATTTGATTAAAAAGTAAACAAAAAATAAAAAACCTATACACCTTTAATGGTGGTAAAAATTACAATGAGATTGGGATAAACCCGCAAATAGATGGGCATTGCCCATCTTAATAATTGACAGGTGTTGAAATTTTATGAAGCCACGTCAACAGGGAGGATGAACCTCATTCTACTGCACATGATGCAACCATTACTCCAATATGTCTTTTAAAAAACAATGCTTGGATCCTGTCCTATCACAGCAAGTTTTGTCCTCCACCATGACGTGACTATATGAAAACTTAACACCTGTCTTAAAAAAAAAAAAATGGATAATACTCGATCAAATTTGGGTTACGGGTAAAATCCATCCGAAGCCCATTTTCTCTCTCCTTCAGTCCTCTTTTTTTTTCTTTTTTTTCGAAAAAAAATCTCTCCTTCATCTTCAGTCCATTCATCTTCGCCGGTTACCGTTCCGAATCATCCATTCCACCGGCCGAGTTCAGCCCACCGTGCCGCAAGTCAGCCACAGTTTCTCTACAGCCGAGCTTCTCCTTGCCCGCCGCTCTCGCCGCTCCGAAAACCCACTGTCGTTCAATCTCGCCAAGCACCGCCGCAAGTCCACTACCGTCTTCATCCTCGCCGGTTTGCCATCGCCACCGCAAAGGTGATTATTCAAGAACTCCAAAGGTGAAAACATCACTCTCCCAACAAAATCACACAAATCCACATCCGGGTTTTGCTCATTGTAGATTTTCTCATTTGGGTGTCTGTTTTCACAGGAAAAAAACACACACACAACACATCTGTGTGTTACTCATTCTAGGGCTTTTATAATTTGGGTCACTCTGTTTTCACATTGTTTTAAGAAAGTTAAAAATATAAAGATTCATATTTGGGTTTTGTTCATTATAGCATTTTATCATGTGGGTCACTCTCTTTTCACACAATTTCAAGAACAACAAAATACCTGATTTTTGCTCATTTTTAGGGCTTTTTTCACATTCTGGTTTGCTCTGTTTTCACTACAGGAGTCTCAATGTCTCTATATCCAGACGACAAATGCTGGCCAACAATGTCGAATCAAAGGGCAAGACATGCCTCACCAGAAACCCCATCGACGACTGCTGGAAATGCGACCCAAACTGGGCCAACAACCGGCAACGCCTCGCCAACTGCGCCATAGGGTTCGAAAAAAGCGCGCTCGGCGGTAAGGGTGGCCGGATCAACGTCGTCACCGACTCCTCCGACGACAACGCGGCGAACCCAACTCCGGGACCCTCCGGCACGCCGTGATCCAGACGGAGCCCCTCTGGATCGTCTTCTCCACCAACATGCTCATCAAGCTCAAGCACGAGCTCCTCGTCAACTCTTTCAAGACCATCGACGGCCGCGGCACTAACGTGCACATCACGAAAACATCGTCCAATGGGAGAGGAGAGAGAGGAAACATAGGGAGGAGAGAGAAACAAAACGGGTCTAGTCTAGTTAAATGGGTATAACCCATGTTTTATAATTTTTAATGTGAAGAATAGATGGCAAACCCTTATTGGGCCAACTCAGATTGGGAGGACATTCTTTGTCTTGATAAGGCAGAATCCAAGCATTACTTTTTTCTAAAAGGATGCCCAAACAGAGGTAATTGCGGGCATTTATAGCTGATCTAAGAAGAGGTTTGCATTGATCCTTTAGCTATCACTGTTGTTAATTGTTAGAAATAGAGGGTTAAAAATTACAATGTACTACTTTAGGGGATAAATGGACAGAGACGATTAGAAATCAACGAGAGTACATGGGTATTTTCAGGTTACAAAACATTTATTATCTGTACTAGAAAAGAACTAGAAGCTTAATTCAACACAAAAATAAGGTTTAAGTTCCAACAGATGGATAATTGTTTCAATTTTTGTCTCCAACAACTAATCATTACAAATTCCAAAATGCATATTACAAACATAGAAACTTTGATCTTCCATCAAAGCTTTACCGAGAAACAAATTTATTAATCATGTTGTATAGGCATCTCATATGCAACAATAACACACTACTAACACATATTTTACTTATTTTGTCTTCAATAATTACAAGCTTCAAAATATATATATATATATATATATATATATATATATATATATATATATATATATATATCACACACCAGGCTTACAAATATTGAACTTCCATCAGAGAGTCCATCCAGGGATAAATCCATGAGCATTTTGTGTTGGAGCTGCATAATTTATCTCACTTGAACCCACAGGCAGAGGATTGTACCTGAAACCAGTAAAAAACAAAGTTATATATGATTCATGTTTCAAGTGTAACCTTCAGATTTTACTTGATCAGTTCATTTAAATCCTGAAAAAGTACCCAATTTGCAATGTGGAATTCAATCCCAAAGGTTGAAAAAAACCCTCTGATTGAGCAGGATGTGGGTTGTAAGGGATGGTTTGTGCTCCGGATTCCCATGATAGCCTAAGTGGCATTTCAACAGTATTTTCTTCCAACTGTCAAATAGAAAAATTCATGGCATGAATCAATTATCTAAAAAGAGTCTTAATAATAGAGAGAGAAAATAAATAAAAACAGATCATTATAAAACCAAGAGTATCAATAGAACTATGTAAAAGTACTTTATCTTTAGATGCCTTGATTATGAGAAGTTATGAGCAAAAATTTGTTGAACTTCCAAATTAAGCAGTCTAAGAGTAACCATTTAAGTGGTTTCTGGTTAATCTGCTGGTTGCAGGAACAAGAATATAGAACAGCTCAAAAGATAATATTGCAAAGAAAGCTCACTCACCCCTGCAAGAAAACAATATTTGAACTGTTTAATTAATGTGAAAATTATTACCTTCCTTCTTAAGACTTTGTTGGATTCAGCAAGCATGTGTTCCTGCAATTAAATATCCAGTAAATATCAAATTGATATAAAGCTGAAGTGTTTTAGTAACTTGTAATTAGATACACATACCCTCCTTTGAAGATCAGCAAGCTGATCCAGCATAAACTGAGTCTGAAGAGCAAAGTATAGAAATTTGATTAGATGATCTCTTAATGGATTATTATAGTTTGCTCTAAGAAAATACAAACTTAATGGTGAAACATATCCTGAGAAGCCATCACTTCTATGTGTATGAGATAGCATCCAACATAAAGTTAAAATAAAAATAAAAAATAAATGAACCATAACCTATAGTTATTATAGAAAAATTAAGTGTAAAATGTCAATAATATTTTTTTAAAATCAATTTCCTTTTTTTTTTTTTTGGTTCTGATTATTCATCTACAACATGTTCAAACCGATTAGCACAACTTAGGACATGTTTTTATAGAATCAAAAGGCAATTGAACGCAGCTTCAAAGCCAAGGGTAAGTATAGTTGTTAAGTAAATTAACATTTACAACCAAAACAGATATAGAAAGGTCAAAAAAATGATAATACACAATAATATTCAAAACACACAATCGGCAATATAACAAATAACAACTAAGGGCAAGTTTAGTACACGTTTTGTTTTTTGTGTTTGTGTTTTTGTTTTTGTCGAGTACTATAGTAGTGAACAGTGAAAAAAAATGTATTTAGTAAAAACTGTTTTATTTTGCATAATATCGAATTTCGTAAATAGTAACCAAAAATTGAAACACCAATTTGATATTTTTATATGTTTTCGTACGGTAGCGTTGGTACTGTAGGCATAAACAAAAAATTTTATTTTTGAAAAACTTTTAAATGATAGTATTTTTAAACTAACCATTATATTTTTCAAACTTACAACACTTTTTAACCAAATATGTTTCATGTTTTTGCTTTCAAAAATCTTGCAACAAATGGACTTTACCAAACATGCTTCCGATTAATATTCAAAATACTTTACAACAAAACATTTGATTTGTTTCGAGTTAAAACAAAATGTCAAAAACAAAACACATACCAAACAGACCATAAGATATTACAACTCAGTAGATGTATTCTCATTAGCATCCAAATTAATTATGTGTGTTTTTACTTCCTAAGAATGCTATTACTCAAATAAACCGAACTCCAGCTTTCCTTTGGTCTTTGGTTTCTTCTCTCAAGCTCCATGGAGTTAAAATTTCCTAGGAATTCTGTTTTCTCTCCCGAGTGATAAAGTGGCCTTGACCTACCTAACTTGGGATTCATGGTGTAAGCATGTAAGGTGGTTAATTTGAGACACACTTGGAACAACATCTTTTAGCAAAATCAGCCGTGTCTGGTCCAAATTCCATTTTGTAACATTGGTAATCGAAATGAAAGTATGCTCGTGTTTGATCCTAGGAACCATGTCACTCGTGCAACAGTGTCCTAATTGTATTAGATACTTGTTGAATACAAACACGGTGGGACACAGCCAAACACGTGTTCAAGATTTTTTTTTTTTTTTTTATTTTTTTTATTTTTTTTTTTTTGTAATTTAAATATCTTTGTTGAACATAACCTGATGGACATGGACACAGGACATGGACACAACAAAAACTCATTTGAAACACTTTAAAACAATATATATCAAGCTCTAAACCATAAATAGAGATTGTAAAAATGATAATTAAGATCAAACAAGCAAAAATTATTATTTGTATATATGTTTCGACATTTGTCTCGTGTTTGTATCCATTCTTCATAGTTTGATCATATCTGCTATTAGGTAAAATGTGGGATGCAAACTCACGTCCCTAAAATTTAAAGATTCGACAGTAGCTAGGCATCTTACAGCTGTTAGATTACTAGCTTCTTTATTCCTCGCTCTAGTGAGGGGTAGCTCCAAGTCTCTTTTAGGGATCGCAGAACACCTTATCCTACCCTATTTAAAACGATTTTGGGGTTCGTTTAAGGGTTTTGAACTGGAACAGGTTTGGGAGTGAAAGCCGCACGGGTGCAAGGTGGGGACGGATGTGAAAAGGTCACCTGTCCCACTTATTTATATTGAGAATTTATCATTTTACCCTTTATATATATGTGTGTGTGCCCTAAAAATCATAATCTACCCGAAGAATGTAATTTGGATAATTTATTTGGTATGGTGGAAACTTTAAACTTATCAATGTTAATATTATTTGGTTAATTTGGTTTGAATGAATGTTTATTTAATTTATATTCTTAAATATGAATTTTTAAATTTTGAGTTGGAAATTAGAGGGAGAGGGGGGGAAATTGGGCCAGGAGACTTAAATTGGATAGGGACAGAGTGGGAGGGAGAGTTTGCTAAAAGATTTTGAGCAAGACAAGGCGAGAAACTAAAGCAGGGTTGGAAAAGGTGGCCAGTGCCCCAAACCCGCCCCGTTGCTATTACTAGTTTCTTTTCTGGGACTAGTGTTCCCTAGAGTTGGTTTGTATTTTGATTGCTGAGCAAGTGCTGGTTTCCTCCACCTGGGTGTGTTTTCTTCTCTCTCTACATTGCCTTGTTTTTAGCCTTGGTCTGTTGTGATCTCTTAGCTTTGTTGGTGTTAATTAGCAACTTGATTATGTTTGATAGCCTTTTGGCCTGCTCCTTTTTTGGGTTTCTGGGAGCCTTATTCGTTTGTGCATATATTTTCATTTATACAATAAAAAAAATAATAAAAAAATAAAAAAATTGATGAACCTAAAACCCTCTACCCGAAATCCCATCCTTAACCACCTCAAACCACCGTTTTTGCCATCTCAACTTTAGAACCACCACACAGCACCTAAGCAAGCCACCACCACTAAGAAACCACCACTATGTCCATTAAAACCACCTCTTTAAGGCCCTAGAAGAGGTACACACCACCCAAATAGTACGTTTCATTCTACCCAGTCAAATGGCAATTAAGTAGCCGATTGTTACACCGATGGAGAAGATCAGGTCTTCTCTTCAAGCCGACAAAGTGTGTAACCCTAACAACAAGATCATTAAAGAGGTGGACTACTTCCCAGATGGGGTTGATGTAACAATAATGGAAGCCTCTAAGTTTGATCTTATCAACGAAGTGGCTAAGCTCAAGGCACTGCTAAGGACTAAGGAAGAGGAATTGGGAAATGCGTTGGACCAGATTAAGATGTTAAGGTTTTCCTCCTCTTCTTCGGTGACGATTAGGCATACAGGGCCACCATTAGGCATACAGGGCCTAGATTCAAATTCAAATTCAAGAGGGAATGGGACTGAGACAGCCCAAAGAGAGATAATCATACACTCAATAACCCCACATGCAACCTCAGATCCATCCCAGACCTTTCATACTACCTAAAACCAGAACCTGTCATGTCAACCCTCAACTGAATCCTTCTTATTCCATCCTAACAACCAAGACCCAAAACCAACTACACATGACCAAAGTACTTCGACTATCCAACTAGAACCACCTCATACCTTCCCTCAAAATCCATCCCTAGCCTTACAACACAATCAAGCAACTATACCTCCAATCCCCCACGCTCCATTATGCTCAAATGCAGAACCCATTGCCAACATTGGTAACCTTCATCCCAAGGATCAAAGCAATCTTAAAGTGAATCACCAAGCTCCAAGCTGGTCCTCAATAGCACATTTTCTTACCCCAACCTGGGACCTTCAATATTACGAACCCTTCTTGAAGGATGACACAGTACTGGTAGATCAACCTAAGGAGGTTAGGATCGATGGAGTTCAGTACTGGCAAAGCTGTCTTCTTGGTTTATTGCAAAGCAAAATGCCATTTAATTAACGTGGTCTCTAACTCTGCACACAAGCTGTAGGATAGTAGGGGACTTAAGTAAATGGTTGCATGGATATATAGTTATAAAAGGATTGTAGCCGGGGGTCAATGGTTTCTAGCTGAAAAACCAGTGTCCCTTAGATTGTGGGAGCAAGATGCACCACATTCTTCTAACTCACCAACCTCAATTTCAATTTGGATCAGGCTCTACAATGTACCTTTTAAGTACTGGTCTTTTAAAGGCTTGAGTTACTTGGGGAGTGCAATTGGGAAGCCTCTATTTGCTGATGAAAACATCATAGACATGAGTATAATTGATTTTGCTAAACTGTGTTGAAATTACACCTAACTCATCACTTCCAGCCTCATTCCAAGTGAGATTGGGGGACAGGATTGAAACTGTAAGAGTCCAATACCCATGGATTCCACAAAGGTGTAATGTCTGTTCATCGAGAAAATTGTACTGTAGGTCACAAGGGGAATAAAAGCCTACAGAAAGTACCCACTGATTCAAATACTTGGAAAATAGTTACTAGGAGAAACGGAGCATCATTTTGTCATCATATCCCTAACCCATTCCCATCTAGTAACCCTCAGCAGCAAAAGGAAATTGCATCCACATCAGAAGCTTTAGTATGTTTGGATAGAGCTTCAGACCCTAAACCTCATAAGGAGGGTACAACCACACTCTCCAATGCTAATAACCAATTACCATTGCTTCCATTGCCTAGTTTTGCACCTTCACATGATTATGATCCTCCAATTGGCATTGTAGCTAACACAAAAGCCATTAACTTTGTGATTGATCTCACCCTTTCAAGTCTTAAAGCTAATAGGAAAAGGCTAGATTCCCCTACTCCAACAGCAATTTCAAACTATTTTGATGTCATCCCAGCAAATAATCTACACGAGGATAATGATTACTCAGTTGAGTTAGCCTCTTCATCAGATGGGGAAGCATTTTCAAGTAGTAATGATCCAACAATCTCACCTGCAGTGGAGAAAATTCTGCAACTAAGAAAACTTGTCCACTCAAAACGCTCTAAGATTGACAAGAGAGTAAGAAAGCTAAATGTTTGACTACCCTTAAGGGGTTTAAAGATATGTGTAACCTTAAGACAAAGCAGCAAGTAGTGAAACAAAAAATAGCTAAAGCACCTAAACTATAAGATAAGTAAGCCTCTCCCGACTAGACAAGCGCGCGTCGAGCCCATGCGAAGGGTTTGGTTAAGATATGCCAAATTCCACCAAGTATACAAATGCAACCTAACTATACATGTCCCCCGATTATATCTTCCAAATCGTCGACACTAACAATCCACCTTTCTCCCCCAAAAGGCG